TCTAATGAAACACCAGAACCTCAAAATCTCAACACCTTCAAATATAGTAGACTTGACACCCCAACAGCCCAACGATCCTCGAATGTTTCCACGTGAAACTCCAAATTTAAGTGAAGTAATTTCTTCAAACTCTTGTAGAAGCCGAGAGGAATATTTTAAATGTTTTTGACATGTTGAGATACTGCAAAGAAACAAGCTCTGATATTCCTTGTAGACTCTCCGAGAGATTTCTGTCATACAATACAACATATCCAAAACAAACTAGTTTCCCATATTTTAGACAAACAAGAGAGATCCAGAGAGCAATTTGGTTTGATTAAAGTCAAAAGGAAAAAATATTACACAGATCAAATATTACACAGCAGAAAACTTCAAACGAAACCATTGTATGAATGTTGATGCAAATAAGAAAATATAACTCACAGAGAGCAACACACACAGAGTGAGTGATAGTGATTTTGAGAGAGAGAAGAGAGAAAAGCTTTTTGAATCAAAGGCAAATGGCATCTTCAACTTCCAAGGAGCTGCATCAGAAGATACCCGTTATACCTTGTGGCTAGAAATCCTTAAACTGACATAAACAAAAAGACAGAGGCATTAAAAAAATGGAAGCAGTTCATATCCCGAAGAAAAAAAATCATATGAAAACAAATAAGAAATACGAGAAATTATACCAATTTTGCATGAAGATAAGAAGCGAGTTTTGGTAGCTTCGTCCTCCCATTCCACACCTTCAATCCAACTTTCCTCTTGTATCCTAAGACGAGTCCATTTTCACCATGCATGCCACTTTGAGAATCCAGTGGAAGCTTTTTCAGATTTGGACATTCGATTACATTGAATACCTTTAGACATGGAAAGCGTAGAGGATTCCAATAGATATTCTTTAGCTTCGGTAGACTGCAACTAAGAGAAACCAGCTTTGCAAAAGGAACAATCCCTGATTCTTCACTTCACAAGCTTTCTCTTTGTTTATTATATCTTCTAGTTGATCTGCATGTAACTTCAAGTTCTTTAAGATTTGAAGCAAACATCAGCAACGTCAGCTCCCTCAGGCTCGCATTTATTTATATACACTTTGGAGAGGCTCAAGAAGCATGGCTCTCTCGGATTGTGTAGAGGAGAAACCGTCTTGCTTTTGTTGCATATACTTCCCATCTTTATCTCAGAGATAGTGCAGTTCGTAATGATGAAATAACGAAGCTTGTTCATGGTTACTGGAATTGCTATTCCAGTTGATTCCAATTTCAAGATCCCAGAAATCGTGTACAACTCGTCAACCTGAGAGAACTAAAAAATAGCTCCAGATGTGGATACACATGGATTTCTAGGGTTAAAATTTCTAAATGCTCCAAGGTTTCTAATTCCTCCACTATGCCGCGATCCCATGAAAAGCCACTTCCAAATTCAGTATCATCAAATTATGCAGATTTGATATCCCAGCAATACTCGAAAGCTTGTATCCGAGATCCAAGTGAATGAGTTTTTTCAACTCTTGTAGACCCTTAGGGAGATGACGGATACCTGTAGTCTGACAAGTTGAGATATTGCAAGGAAACTAAATCAGATACTCCATCCGGCACTTTGGTGAGATGTTCATTAAATGATAGATCCAACACCTGTAGCTTCGGCATGGACTTGAAGAATTCACTCGAGATATTTACCAATTCTCCCCGTTGCATGAGAAAAGCTGTGAGTTCGAGACATTCAGGACTGCCAGCTAGATTGCGAATCTTGTTCTTCATCAGTGACATTCTTCTCACACTGTTCCAATTCTTAACCTTTGGAATTTCATTTAACCCTACACCTGCATGCACAATGAAAGCCTCCTTTTCTCTTCCCAATTCAGATGCAATCCACAATGCCATTTCGCGAACAACATCATGCATACGCACACTTCTGTTCCATCCTCTTCCATCAACAAAGATGCACGAACAAGATCACCAATAATCTCATACCCCTTGTTCTGGCCCTCTCTATACCTTCACTTCCATCTATAATACCTTCGCCTATCAAGTAGTCTATCAAATCTTCTTTAGAAATCAGATCATCTTCTGGAAATAAAGCGCAATACAGCAAACATGATTTGACATCCTCGCCCTTAAGATTATCGTAGCTATACTTCAAAAGCGGAAGGATCTTATCTTCCATGCCAGAAAACTCTGTAGCGTACGAAGTCAAAACATTTATCGCGTGACGCCATTCTTCCACCGTCTCTTGCATGACATGGTCTCCCCTATGACATTGAGCGCCAATGGAAGGCCACCACATTTTCTAGCAATGTCTTTTGCAAGTTCAGGGATCTCTGGATGGCGTCCTAATGTTCTTTGTCCAACCTTCTTTTGGAACAAATCAAATGCTTCAATTTCCGCCAAACATTGGACTTCCATTGTTCTTCAGCCATCATGCGAACATACGTCTTGGACGAGTGGTGAAGACTACTTTGCATCGGTTTTCTGGTGCTGGAAATGGGACTCCAATCTCTGTTAAATCCACCTTCTCCCATATGTCATCTAAAAACAACACAAATCTCTTTTTCTTCAAGAAATTGTATAAATCAATGGTTTTTTCTTCTTTTTTTTCTCCCACCTCTCCATCAAGACCAACTTTCTGAGCGATTTCATCTTGAATCTTCTCTACATGTAACTCTTTAGACACCACAACCCAAATCACAAAATCAAATCCACACCTTTCTTCACTGAACTTATTGTTGATTTGCATGAGAAGCGTTGTTTTCCCAACTCCGCCCATACCATACATACCCATAATACCAACTCCATCTTTCCTTGAGATGTTTCCATGCCTTATCGAGCATTGCTTCTTGACCAACAATTATCGTGGAAGTTGTATTTCCTCTATCACAGCTGTTCAGCTTATAACACTTGATCAGTGATTGAGCTTGAAAACTCTATTTTCTAAGTTCCTCAACCTCCTCAACGTCAAGAAAACCTTTTTCCCGTAACGGTAACTGGATCTTAAACTCTTAGAGCAAAACCCACAAAGACACAGCCTTTGAAGTTCATCATCTCTAGCCATAAGATCACTGACATTTTTTTCGATAGTCTCAACTCTCTTAAGCCATACCTGGAATTTTAGCAAGCCTTTGCCGACCTCTTATCCTCCTCTCTTGTGACCCTTGTTAAATCATTCACGCTTAGCCTTGAGCTCTTCCATGCTGTCTCCAGAGCCGTGAGATTCTTCTCAAGATGAATATAACCCTTTTCTTGTAGCCATTGAGAGATTTTTATCCACGGACCTAAGGAAGAGAGGAAATTCCCCATTTTGCAGAAAGGGAAAGATTTCTGAGATTTGAGATTATGAGCAAACCAGAGAAGATGCAGAGAATAATTGAAGATAAGACTTTCTTTCACGTCCACAATTCTCGATCAAGTGAGTCCAAATCACTGATTTTTCTTGGAAATTTTGCTTATTTGATTATCCATAATTCTCACGTTCACACATTTTGGTTGTTGACTTTGGTGGGACATACTAATCACAAAGTCGCTCTCCATGGCAAACCAAAGACGAAGAAGACTTAATATTTAATCCTTAATCCTTGTTACAATAAGCTTTTAATGATAAGCGTGATTATTCAGTCCCCAATCGAATATTTGATCAAAACCATTTACAGTATGCCACATTTGAAGCCTTATAGGAATTCATAAGCGATTTACACACTGTTTGGGGATTGACCAAGTGAGAATCTCTGTAAATTATGTTTCTCCATGTGAGACCAAATTCAAACGAAAACACGTTCATGTATGGGAAGATCATCACTTGGTTGATGAAGCTAACCAAGACTTGCCTTTGTATATATCAACCAAAAGATGATATAATATCTAAGACTATACGGTAAGTTAATTCTCTATAAAGGTGGTGTACCTCTGAATCAACAATGAATAAGCACTAGGTATTATCAGTTAAAAATCTGGCGCTAAGAGTAAAACAAACCATATTTAACAATATGAAAATGCCTTAGAGAAGAACAAGATCCCATTACGCCACACGCTACTCTGCTTCTGCTTCATAGTCATATTCTTCATCATAATAAGGATCTTCAAGTCTTTCTTTTTTGTACTTGGCTTCTTCTTCTTCTTCTTCAAGTCTTCTGGCCTCTCTAAAACCTTGTAGCCTTACTAGAATGGCAGCAGCATCCTCCTTGCGAGCACGAGATTCATTGCCAGCCTCAACTCCTCCAGGGTAATAATCCAACTCCTGCTTGACAAGCAAAAGAGAAAATTAACAAGTGAGAATGGGAAAGAATCAAATATGTAGTTAGACAATGACAAGGTTTCTTTTGGGGATAGATGCTTACTTCAAGTGCATGTTCTTTACTGAGGATATGCTTGGTGAAACTTTCAAAGCCTAAGAGACCAAGACAGCATCCTGAGCAATAAAATGTAGTTTTACCCGTTGTTCCACTGCACTCCTTCTTGGCCTCTGTTGGAGAAAAAAAACAAAACAAAAAAGAGCTTAATTTGGTGTGTGTTTGAGAGAGAGCGAGAGAGAGAGAGAGAGGAACACACCTGCACGTAAGCTCGCGAGTAAGCTTTCCCAGAGGAAGCACCCTGCACGCCTAGCGAAGACGGTGGGCTCTAGTTGACGATCATATGGAACTTTTGAGCCAAGAACATAGTATTTCTCCGATAGATCGGCAATAAACTGACCGAAGATCCTCTGAAGGGATATGAGCATGACATTAGCCGGAGGCGAATTATCCGACTTCCACATGTACACACTAGTCATAATAGATTTGTTATCTGTTCCAGAAAAAACAATACTTAAGACTCTGTAAAAACACACCAAAAGCAAGGAAAAAAGGTAAAGAGAGTTGAATCTAAAACACTTACACATGGTGGGGACGTGATGAAGGTTGATCCCAGTGGAAGAGAGGGCTCGAAGGACGTCAATAGGGACTTGTGATAGTATGCCAATGGCGGTGATGGTGAGATTACCGTTGTAACCTAAACTCTTCAATGCCCGTCTTATAAACGGACCCACACGACGAGCATCAACGTCGGAGGGAACAGGACACCTGCTTAGGTCCCACAAGACCCATGTTGCAATATCAGCTTGCCTCTTCGTCGCCGCCTTAAGGTCCATCATCGTTCAACAAGACTTTAAACCCTAAACAAAATTCAATATAAAACAGTTAGGTCTTTAATCTAGATGAGCGGAAGAGAGAACTAAACGCGCACCCAGACGACAGACTTAAATAACTTGAACATTATTGAAATTTGAAATTGTTTGCCGAAACTGAAGTTTATCATTTAAATTTTAGTTTTAATTCAAGATATGAATTTAGGTCACGATGAGATATCTTTATTATATAAAAACAAGTACGACACGTGAGATTATTTTTGACACATAGTTTAATTTATAGATTCATTAATAATTAAAGGGAAAAGTAAGCACATAAACCTAGTTAAAAATAATAAATTTACAAAATAATTATCAAGTAATTAATAAATTATTAATTTCCCACTGTCCATTTAGTAATTTTATAATTTGACAAAACCAAAGAAAGAAAAAGTTATTAGTTTATTCTAATCAATTTATTTTTATATCAATTTATCATAAAAGTTAAAAGTTATTAGTTTTATTTTGTAACTCACCAGATTGTGATATATGTCTAATACTAATCCGATGATGACATGTGTCAACACATAAAGATTAATTTAAAATGTATGATGAAAAATAAAAAATTAATAAAGTAATTTTCAAACAACTAAGGGGCATATTGAACTAGTAGTTATTTAGGAGGATTTCATTTTTTTTTTAAATGTTATTGGACTAATAATTTATACAAATTATTTAAAATCCAAAGTTATTGGACTAATAATTTATAAAATTAGGAGTAGAATTTGTGTGGATTTTAAAGATTATAAAAGTTAAGATAATTGTTAAATTTATAAATAATTTTTGTTAGATTTGAAAAGACTATGTAAATTTAGAAAATCAATCAAAATATTTTATTGTAATTGACTTTGAGAATCTAAGGGTTATAGGTATTATTTTGAAAGTTTTGTTTCATGAGTTAATTTGTTTAAAATTCATCTCTCGATAACAAAGATTTTAACAATTTATGGAATCATTCAAATTGTAAATTTTTTGAATAACAATGGATTTTGCATGGATTTTAAAAATCATCAAACCAATAACAATATATTTTAATAAGAATATCAAAATCCATTAACCAATAACAACGGATTTTGAAAATTTTAACAATCATCACAAATTCTACTCCCAATAATCCCCCTAAAGTTAGATAATTTAAAAAAAAAAAAAAAAATTTAAAATTAATAGTTAGATGAAAATAAAGTCACACTATCCTTAGTTTGCATTTCTAGTAGCATTTAAATCGACTAATATATACGGTCAGGCTCATACATGAGAACTGACATAAGAAAATAAATAAAAAACGTTCATAAGACATGCAGACAGCATAAGACTAATGAATATGAATGTTCACAGGTGAACGTCATTGAAATTCTCAATCTTGTTTTGATAGCTACTGAAAGGTACGAACGAGTAAAATTTAGTAATTAATTTTCACTTTTTTTTTTTTCAACAAAAGGTGTTGTCAACAAAAGGTGATTGTTAAGTATTCGGATTTTATCTCATTCGGTTTGTTTTACTTATGTATATTGTGTTTCTGTGGTAATTTAGAACATGTTGTAAAGTATTCGGATTTGATTTGATACGGTTTAATTTACTAGTGTGTATTTTGTATCTGTGATAATTTAGAACGTTAGTTACACACCTTGAGTAAAGTGGGAGACTCATACTAAAGTGTTTTCAGTATATACCTATCCGTTGACTCAATTTGGGTTAATGCTCACAGTTTGTATTTCATCCACTTTGTTAAAAACTAATGTATTTCACCAAAATACGTAATATTTATTCATTCCATTGATATCAGAGTCGCATTGTTTGATTTCATATAAAAAATCTGCAACTAGTATGTCTCATGATTAATAGTAGCATATCTATATTAAGAGTTTCTATTATTTGGTAAGGAGAAAGAGAGATCAGAGTAGATGAAACTATTAAATATTGTTTCTTTGAGCTTGAAGGTCGGGTTGTGCAGCAGCATTAGCCTCAAGTTGAAGATATGTACCATCTAGATCAGTAGCCATGGTTCCATCCTGAAGAGAGAAACCGGTGACGTAAGAAGTGCTCAGCTAAATCCACAACATTCTGCTCATTTACGTTATGGTCGTTTACTTGAGCGGCAAAAGAGTGAATTTCTGGGTGTCTCTGCCACACACACACACACACACAAAAGACAAGGAAATAAATAGCCAAAAAAGCCAAAGCACAGACTAAACTACAGAAAAAGAAAAAAAAAACATTTGTCATACCTTGACAAACACTTGAGTTGCTCGAGCAAGGGCGTTGTTAGCACGGTCCATCTTTCCTCTCGCTTTCATTCTTGATACATATCGAATCCAGTATTCAGGGTAGTTTGCGCAGACAATTAAACATCTTTCATACAGCTTGTATACCTGTTGGAAAAAAAAACAAATAGAATGTTAAAAAACATTACACATAGAAACCACAAAGACATCTACATTACTTGCAATGGTGCGTGTTTAACAACCGGAAGTACTTAGCCTTAAAGTTACAAAATCAAAATCTAGCCCCACGCTTGTTTTAACCATTAAAAAGTTGCTTAGCCCGTGATCCTAAGATACTATGTATGTCAATAATGTAACAAAGACTTAAACTACAAAACCCATACCTTGTCCACGTCTTGCTCATTGTCGATGAAGTCCAAATATTGATGCCAATGCACCAGCTCTGCTTGAGTGAGAGGGCACACATCGAAAGAGAGCCTTTGAATATGCATTTCAAAGTGCTCTATAGTAGCCCTCAACTCCTTCTTACCTTGAAACAGCTGTTTTTCCCTGGAGAAGAATTGCTCCATGCTCAATCCTCTAGCATCAAAGGCAGGAGCGTTTGCTTCAAATGCCTCATGAGTCATATGATAAGCTAGTGTTTGAAATCTGTAGCAGTTGTGTGAAATCAGAAAAAAAATGTAAAGTCAACAGATGGTCAATGTGGAAGAATTGTAACACAAGGAAGTAACTTACGTGGAAGCAAACTGAATGTGATCTTTAATAGGAGGACTCTTCAATATCTTGAGGTGAATCTTAATAAGTGGGAGCCAATATCGGTCAAAATCGCATTTGGCGAGGTTCCTCTCATACTCAATCAAATCTTGCCACAATGCAGAAGAATTGAAGTCTTTACCGACGAAAGACAACGCTTGGTAAAAAATACTGCAAGCAGGAATTAAACAACGGTTAAAAAGAATGTCAGATAGCAAGTAAAAGAAAAAATGTCAGATTTTACTTACACTCTGATAGTCTTTGCATCTTCTCCAAATGTGTCCACAGCGAATCTGCAGTAATTCATCCACAGCTCCACTGAGTATGTGGCTTCGTGTTTTGCTCGTTCATAAACATTCAGCAGGTTCTCCAGTATGGTTAACCGTCCCTCGTGACACGCATACTTTTCCCAGTGGTCAATACACAGTGGAAAGTTAAATAGGAAAGCATCATAAACCTCGCGGATTTGTTCTATGTTGAACCGGGCTCTATTATCTGTCTTTTCGATCAGAGTCTTCCAACCTTGGTACTCCCAAGCTATCCTACCTTCAACCGTCATATCATTGAGCATTGGCGAACCAAGCGTTAGTGAGCTCCATAGCTCCTCCTCTACCTTTGAACGAGGGTTGCATTTAACACTCTTAAACAATACTTTTTCTGGGTAGTAAGGTTCAAGACCAATTTAAGACCAATTTAGGCAGTTTAAGACCAATTTCAATAACATCCTCCCAGGTTATAGCAAAGTGGGGCACATGTGGGAATGAGACACTCGTTGACCATGGGCTATAGATTATACCGGTGATGAAACCCTTGCCTCTTAGCTGCCTTATCTGTTCTGTGTAGCCAGTATCTGAGGCTATAATAACTGCTACAGCAGGTCCTGAACACGTCTTTGCCCAAGACTTAATTCTAACACGAATCTTGTCATCGCTTGCTTGTGATCCGGTATGATCGGCAGGGATAAAAGCGATACTCGTTTGCGCTAAGTCTTCACGAATTTGGTTTAGACGCTGAATGGTTTCAAGGTCAAGATCTTCCTTGACAGCTAGGTCTTGACCAGGTTGCTTCAGGCGTTGAATGGTATCAAGGTGAAGATATTCCTTGACAGCAACCATTTCCACCCTCAATTTACCATGATATCCCAACCTCTGTAGTGCAGTCTTAATGGCAAGGTAACTCCAAACCGGATCGTAGCCTGAGGGAAGACGAGCGTTTTCGTAATCCCACCAGCAGAAAATGGGATCAAAACAATATTCATATTCTGAGTCCATAGCAATCTTCGGTGTAAACCCCTAAAAGGCAAAAAAAAAAAAAGGAAAGATCTTTAACAAGGTTGTGAATTCATAAACAGAGCAAACGTGTAATTCAAGGCTTTGCAAACAAAAAAACACAGAGTGAATGAGTTATTACGAGCTTCATGTTTCCCGTAAAAACTCATAATAAATAAATAAAATAATTAGATTCACTTTATCAAAAGATAATTAATTCATTTCTCATGGGTTTTAATTATAACCCGTAAAATTATTTAGAAAACAGAGTGAATGTGTGTAATCAAAAGCTTTGGTTTTCAATGAAAACTCATGAACAAGGAAAGAAAGAAGAAGCAAATTCGCTTCGTTTTTTTGGGGTGTCAATTCATAACACATAAACAAGCTCAAAAACAGAGAGTGTGTTTGTGTGTGTAATCAAAAGTTTAATTTGTCTGTTCAATAGACACTCATGAACAAGAAATCAAAGAAAACTGTTTCATGGTTCATGATGATTATTACCTTGACAGCTAGCAACTGTTCGAAAGATTCTCTCCTTTGATCACTCGTCATAAACACCCAACATCTTGACCATTTTCTGCAGAGAGCGTGAGAGAAAAACCACCATTAATTAAAACACTCCAAGTCTACGTAAATCAAAAGACTGTTTCCTTACTACATTGTGAACCAAATAAAAATACCTTCTTTTTCTTTGTAGAAGAGAGCAGAAAATGAGAGAAAACTATAAGAAAGAGGATGCTTTTATGCCAAAATGTAAACAAGCCGATAGTTTTTAATACCAAACAACAAACCGACACATGAATTGGGTTTATAGAAAACAGGAGAAGACGAAACTACGGAGTAGTTTCCAGCTTCACTTATGCTGTTTTCTGTGTTCTCTTCCGTGTGTTCTTGGGCAATTTCTAGTTTCTACTAATGGCAAATGATGTGTGACGATCGATTATTAAGCGTTTCTATATATAGTAGTACCTTTTGAGCTTTTTGTTTTGTCAAAGATTCTTCTATTGTCTTGACTCTCTATCACTTCTCTTTCATTAAAAATGGTCATCTTACTTTACTTGGTTTTAGTGCGATTTCCCATATTTGATTGCATTTACAAGTTTTTTATTTAGTTTAAAAAAGCATGTGTGCTTTGAATTATTATCATCGATCTCTCGTCAGTTCTTTTTTAAATTAGGTGTTTGGGCTTCTTTCTTAAAGTGTACTCTTAAACTTTACATGTGTCGAGGTAATACAGCAACAGACAAAAGACTTATACAGCAACCTTTGATCTCAACCGTCCGATGTTACAATGCAAAGACAAATATGGCTAAGGCTTGACTAAAACAAGTTTACTTAATTTGTATTTGTTTCTTAATGTTGATTTACGTTTTACAGAAAGTATTCAGTTAAGTTGTATTCTTTATTTATGGATCTATTGGTTTGCATATTAAAAATTGATTGAATTTATCGATATTTATAATAGTTTGAAAAAAAAACCTTGGTCGAATTTTTTTAATTTTACAAAAATCAACATGCATGACCTTGATGAACCATCTTACTAAAACTAAACTTGGTACATTTTTATCTTTCTGGCTCGTCGTTGTATTTATTACATTGTTTCTCTATATACAAATGCATCTTATGTAGAAAATGCAAAGTGTTGTTTTTTATTTTATTTTGCCGGAGACTGGTTGATAAATCACACGTTATTAACAGGATTATGCACCAACCTTTCACTTGTCTGCTATGTTTTTAGTTTTTTTTGTTTTTCTTTCTTAAAACTAAAATATTCACGTATAAGCATAGCACTGTTTAAATTCTGCCAGAGACTGGTTGATAAATCACACGTTATTAACAGAATTATGCAACAACCTTTCACTTGGCTGCTATGTTTTTAGCTTTTTTTTGTTGTTCTTTCTTAAAACTAAAATATTCACGTATAAGCATAGCACTGTTTAAATTCTGATCGACATTTTTTTCTTCTTACGTTTTTATGATAGTAGAGCCCACTTAATTTTAGCCATGTTTCCAAATTCATATTTCGTATTGATTTGTTTTGCTATGAGATATTGCATATTATATCATCCAGACATCCACTATCACTCCGCCGAGTTCAACGACAGTATTTACAATTGGCGAAGCTTTTGCATTCTGAATCCATCATAAATATTATTGATGATTTATCTGATCATTCATGTAGATGTACAAACAAAAATAAATTTATTAACTTTGGACTACTAGTACTACTTAACGTAACAGGACTAAAATCAAGTTATACATCAATCATATATCTCTCTCTCTCTTCCTTGTTACATGCATAAGCAGCAATAGAACATCATCATGATGAATGATAGTATTATCGACTTTAGCCGTTACACATCGTATGCCTACCTAACCCCACTCAAATAAACGTTAATGTACATTTTTCCATTTTGGTTTATTCATTGGTCATCAGTCTCTTTCCACTGACAAATAGTTTGGTTTATTCGTTTGTCTTTGGGTTTAAAGAATATTATTTATTAAAGTTGGCAAGATTATTTTGCACCGGGATAATTATTTTTTTGATAAAAGTGATGATGAATGGATTTTTCATCTATGTCCAAGGTTTCTTCTACATTTTATTGTTAAATAAGGGGTTTCTTCTACATGCATATTGCGATGGAGATAAGAAAACTGGAAAATGATTAATAACTTTTCCAAGCCCTATTGCACCGGGATAATTTACTAATATAATATGCATGGACACTAAAAAATATATTTAGAATGTTAGATAAATAAATATGGGAAGCTACTAGTGTATCTCTTATATAAAAGTTAAACATCTCTAAAAGTATATATAAATTTTAGTAGAAAAAAAAACTTATAAATTATTGCTGATTTTTTTTAAAAAAAAATTAATAATATGATATATATATTAAATAAAAAGTTTCTACAAATTCATATCAAATCAATGATAAATTACATTTTCGGCTAACAATTCCATTAATATCAAGGCCATGAATGTTTGGTTAGTTTCTAGATTTTGGATTCTGGTTTTTAGATTTTAGTTTTTGATTTTAGATTTTAGTTTTTGATTTTGGTTTTTCTGTAGATTTTTAAAATAATAAAAAAATTAAAATAAGAGTAAGAAAAAAAACAAATCTGTCGTAGAATGAGAGAAACCTAAAAAATGTAGATTTTGGTTTTTGTATACAAAGTGGAAGTTACTTTGAAAAACTAGTTTCCCTAAGTTTTAGAAAATCTACTTATTAAGAATCTTGATTGGAGAATAAAATGGTTTCTGAAAAAATCAAAACCAAAAACCATTGCAAAAACCACAGACAATCAAGGCCCAAGTTGTTTAAGTTTGGGCTTCCGTAAAGCTGGCCCAATTGTTGAATTTTTTACCAAAATCTCGTTCAGCTTTTTGCTTAAAAGATTCGATCGAAAAGATTACCGGTATTGTTCATTTCATTTGCTCTCTCTCTCTCTCTCTCTCTCTCTCTCTCTCTCGGCTGATCGCTCCATCTTTTTCCTCTCAGGTAACGCTTTCTCGATTTCCGATTTCCTATATGTTTCTGTTGTAGTTACCCTTAATTGGTACAATCGTTGGATGAAATTGCTGTCCGATTCGTTGTGTGGGTAGGAAAACAGTGTGAGATTTTGTGGGCTTGGTTAGTTTAGCAATCATGATCGGAAATATAAAACGTGCAGATTCTGAACTTTGAGTTTAATTTTGAACATTTGTTTAGGGTTTAACGATGATGGACCTTAAGGCGGCGACGAAGAGGCAAGCTGATATTGCAACATGGGTCTTGTGGGACCTAAGCAGGTGTCCTGTTCCCTCCGACGTTGATGCTCGTCGTGTGGGTCCGTTTATAAGACGGGCGTTGAAGAGTTTAGGTTACAACGGTGATCTCACCATCACCGCCATTGGCATACTATCACAAGTCCCTATTGACGTCCTTCGAGCCCTCTCTTCCACTGGGATCAACCTTCATCACGTCCCCACCATGTGTAAGTGTTTTAGATTCAACTCTCTTTACCTTTTTTCCTTGCTTTTGGTGTGTTTTTACAGAGTCTTAAGTATTGTTTTTTCTGGAACAGATAACAAATCTATTATGACTAGTGTGTACATGTGGAAGTCGGATAATTCGCCTCCGGCTAATGTCATGCTCATATCCCTTCAGAGGATCTTCGGTCAGTTTATTGCCGATCTATCGGAGAAATACTACGTTCTTGGCTCAAAAGTTCCATATGATCGTCAACTAGAGCCCACCGTCTTCGCTAGGCGTGCAGGGTGCTTCCTCTGGGAAAGCTTACTCGCAAGCTTACGTGCAGGTGTGTTCCTCTCTCTCTCGCTCTCTCTCAAACACACACACACACACACCAAATTAAGCTCTTTTTTGTTTTGTTTTTTTTCTCCAACAGAGGCCAAGAAGGAGTGCAGTGGAACAACGGGTAAATCTACATTTTATTGCTCAGGATGCTGTCTTGGTCTCTTAGGCTTTGAAAGTTTCACCAAGCATATCCTCAGTAAAGAACATGCACTTGATGTAAGCATCTATCCCCAAAAGAAACCTTGTCATTGTCTAACTACATATTTGATTCTTTCCCTTTCTCACTTGTTAATCTTCTTTTGCTTGTCAAGCAGGAGTTGGATTATTACCCTGGAGGAGTTGAGGCTGGCAATGAATCTCGTGCTCGCAAGGAGGATGCTGCTGCCATTCTAGCAAGGCTACAAGGTTTTAGAGAGGCCAGAAGACTTGAAGAAGAAGAAGAAGAAGCCAAGTACAAGAAACAAAGACTTGAAGATCCTTATTATGATGAAGAATATGACTATGAAGCAGAAGCAGAGTAGCGTGTGGCGTAATGGGATCTTGTTCTTCTCTAAGGCATTTTCATATTGTTAAATATGGTTTGTTTTACTCTTAGCGCCAGATTTTTAACTGATAATACCTACCTAGTGCTTATTCATTACATTAGACTTGATGCTCTGTTGATTCTGAGGTACACCACCTTTATATAAAATTAACTTACCGTAGTCTTATATATTATTCTCTTTGCTTTTATCAGATACCCAAATTGTATGTGGAAAATAACATTTTCATCCATCACTCAAAAAGGTTGGAAATATAGCCACTTTACCCTTCAAAAACTTCTTTAATACTTTCGAAATAAACAACACATTAGCAAAAGGCATTTACACAACCAGTATTCAATATTCTTATAAAATCTCATCTTTTGATACATACAAAGAGAAATCTTGGTAAACTTGAGAAACCAAGTGATGATCTTCCCATTCGTCTCTATACGTCTCTGGATGCGCTCTCTTCCTCACACCAGTCGCCAAATACATCTCTTTCCTCCACTCCTCTGTTCCTGAGCATCCGCATTGTGAAGCCAACCAATCATTGTACTCAAACTGTGAAACAACACAACAACAGCAAAAGATGTTAACTAGGTTCTGTTCAGTTTCGGTTTATGTTGCGGAATCATAAGTTAAAAGAGATTCTTACTTGAGTAATTCCCATTTGATGAGTATATCGTTTTGAGACCCCTTGAGCTTCAAGTGTTGCATAGAAAGATTTGATATCTTCCATCATATCTTCCTTAGAAGGAAGCTTAATCCGACCCGATCCACTTGCCTTGCAGCTCAAACAATGGGAACGGTACAACCTTTTCCATGGTATTCCAATGAAGGAGAGCAACGGCGCTAATGCCGGAGGGAAGACGTCTTTGTAAAGTGTTAGCTTTCTTTAGAATGTCACAATTCTTATCTCATCATTTAATGAGTTCACTGTGCTGAGATCTAATGAAACACCAGAACCTCGCAACCTCAATACTTTCAAATCCAGTAGATTTGATACCCAACGAAAAGGTTCCATGTGAGCTCCAATTTCAAGTAAAGCAGTTTCTTCAAGTCTTGTAGAAGCCGAGAGGCAAACATTGTGTATTTGTTTTTGACATGTTGAGATATTGCAATGAAACCAGTTCTGATAATATTCCTTCTGGCAACTCCGAGAGGTTTCTGTTCAACGATATCCAAAACAACTAGGCAGAGAGATTCTCAAATCTTGTTACTCATCAGTGACATCCTTCTCACAACTGAAAATAGCACACAACTGATGATACGCTGGCGCATGGTATCGATAGAGAGATATAACTTCCGATTTTGCAGAGGAAGTAATACCCATCTGACTAATTAGATGAGAAATATTTTACTTACACTTAATTAGATCATCAACATCGTAAATCTTCTTAATAGAAAAGATACAATAATTAAAAATACTCTTTCAGAAAGGAATTCACAGAAAGTAAAGACACATTGACAGACCACTTGATGGATAAGTTAAACAGGTTAGTCTTCGGTGTCTATCAAGCACAATCTACACTTTGATGAATAAAAGAACTCTATTGATAATTGTGTTAACAAATACAATAAACGGGGCAAGAATAAAAAGGTGTTTGCATTACAGATGGCATATGAAAACATTCCAATCAACTTCAAACGTAACCATTGTATAAATGAAAACTCACAGATGGAGAGAAACACAGAGTGAGTGAGTGGTAGTGATTTGAGAGAGACAGAAAGCTTCTCTTTGGATCAAAGGCAAATGACATTTTCAACTTCCAAAGACCTGCATCAGAAGATACAATCCAAACAAGAGGCAGAGGCATTAAAATATGGAAGCCATGCATAACCTCAAGAAAAAAACATATGAAAACAAATAAGAGAATACGAGAAATATACCATTTGCATGAAGATAAGAAGCGAGTTTTGGTAGCTTCGTCCTCCCATTCTACACCTTCAATCCAACTTTTCTCATTGCATTTTAAGACGAGTCCGTTTTCACCATGCATGCCACTTTGAGAATCCAGTGGAAGTTTTTTCAGATTTGGACAATCTCCTTACATTGAATACCTTTAGACATGGAAAGCGTAGAGGACTCCAGTAGATATTCTTTAGCTTGGTAGACTCTCCAACTGAGAGAAACCAGCTTTGCAAAAGGAACAATCCCTGATTCTCCACCTTCACAAGCTTTCTCTTTGTTTATTATATCTTCTAGTTGATTGCTGCAACATGAAGTTCTTTAAGATTTGAAGCAAACATCAGCAACGTCAGCTCCCTCAGGCATCTGCAATGTATACACTTGGGAGAGGCTCAAGAAGCATGGCTCTCTCGGATTGTGTATAGGAGAGAGAAACCGTCTTGCTTTTGTTGCATATACTTCCCATCTTTATCTCAGAGATAGTGCAGTCCATAATGTGAAATAACGGAGCTTGTTCATGTTACTGGAAAAGCTATTCCAGTTGATTCCAATTCAGATACTCAGAAATCGTGTACAACTCATCAACCTATGAGAGCTTAAAAATAGCTCTAAATGTGGAGGACCATCGATTCCCTATGGTTAAAATTTCTAAATGCTCCAAGGTTTCTAATTCCTCCACTATGCCGCGATCCCATGAAAAACCACTGAAAGCTAAATTCAGTATCATCAAATTATGCAGATTTGATATCCCTGCAATACTCGAAAGATTACGTGTACTCAAAAGATCCAAGTGAATGAGTTTTTTCAACTCTTGTAGACCCATAGGGAGATGACGTATACCAGTACGTGACAAGTTGAGATATTGCAAGGAAACTAGTTCAGATATTCCATCTGGCACACTTGAGATGTTTATTTTGTGATAGATCCAACACAACTAGCTTCGGCATGGACTTGAAGAATTCACTCGAGATATTTTCCAAAAAAATGTTGTTTTGCAAGAGCAAAGTTGTGAGTTCGGGACATTCAGGACTGCCATCGAGATTGCGAATCTTATTCTTCATCAGTGACATCTTTCTCACAACATTCCAATTTTTAACCTTTGGAATTTCACTTAACCCAACACCTGCATGCACAATGAAAGCCTCCTTTTCTCTTCCCAGTTCAGATGCAATCCACGAGGCCATTTCGCGAACAACATCATGCATATGCACTTGTTCTGTTCCAACTTCTTCCATCAACAAGGATGCACGGAACAAGATCACCAATTATCTCATACCCCTTGTTCTCAGCCCTCTCTATACCTCACTTCCATCTATAATACCTTCGCCTATCAAGTAGTCTATCAATTCTTCTTTATCAATATTATATCTTCTGGAAACAAAGCGCAATACAGCAAACATGATTTACATCCTCACCCTTAAGGTCATCGTAGCTATACTTCAAAAGGGAAGGATCTTATCTTCCATGCCAGAAAACTCTATAGCGTACGAAGTCAAAACATCTATCGCGTGACGCCATTCTTGTATCGTCCTCTTGCATGACATGGTCTCCCCTATGACATCGAGTGCCAATGGTAGGCCACAACATTTTTTAGCAACTATTCTTGCAAGTTCAGGGATCTCCGGATCGCTTCCTAATGTTCTTTGTCCAACCTTCTTTTGGAACAAATCAAATGCTTCATTGTCCGCTAAACATTGGACTTCCATTGGGTCTTCAACCCCCATGATCACATACTTCTTGGGAACGAGTGGTGAAGGCAACTTTGCATCCGTTTTGTGTTGTTGGAAACGGGACTCCAATCTCTGTTAAATCCACCTTCTCCCATATGTCATCTAAAAACAACACAAATCTCTTTTTCTTCAAGAAATTGTACAAACGTACGCCTTTTTTATTCTTATCTTTTATCTCCCACAAAAATCCATCAAGACCAACTTTCCCAGCAATTTCATCTTGAATCTTCTCTACATGTAACTCTTTAGACACCACGACCCATATCACAAAATCAAATCCACTACTTACGTCGCTGAACTTATTGTTGATCTGTGTGAGAAGTGTGGTCTTCCCTACTCCGCCCATACCATACAAACCCATCATTCCAACTCCATCTTCCATGAGATGTTTCCATGCCTTTTGAAGCATCGTTTCTTGACCAACAATTGTGGGTTGAAGAGGTCTTTCTTCCATCCGAGGTGTTTGAGCTTCCTCAACAATCACTTCAAATTCTCTACTATGGAGTGTCTCAACCTCCTTTAACGTCAAGAAAACTTTTTTCCCGTAACCATAACTCGATCTTAAACTCTTAGAGCAAAACCCACAAAGACACAGCTTTTGAAGCTCATCATCTCTAGCACTAAGAAGATCACTGACTCTTTTTTCAATACTTGCAACTCTATTAAGCCATACCTCGATTTCGGCAAGCCTTTGCTGACCTCTATCCTCCCCTCTTGTGACCCTTTTTGACAGATCATCACGCTTAGCCTTGAGCTCTTCCATGGATGTCACCAGAGCCGTGAGATTCTTCTCCAGGTTATGTATACAAGCTACTTTCTCGTCAACCCAGTTAGAGATTTTATTGATACACGGATCACAAGGTATGAGAAAGAGATACCCAGACACAGGAAGAGTCACTCTCCACAGCGAAGAGCATCTTCCCACAGATTTATAAAGATTTATTTAAGAATTTTTACGTCTAATATTTAGCAAATTCTTACCACTGCACATGGAGAGAAATTTTAAAATGGTTGAGAAACTTAATGATGTTGCTCTTCTTCAGAGACTCCTTTTTCATTTCTTCCTATGTTCTTGATGATTAGCCAATAAAACTCTTTGTTTTATACATTCCTCTGTTCTTGAGAAACGAATGGCAGTATAAACACAATATCTTAGGGTATTAATTTACTTCTAACGGATCTTTCTGCTAATGTGTATACAAAGAGAAATCTTGGTAAGCTTGAGAAACCAAGTGATAATCTTCCCATTCGTCTCTATACGTCTCTGGATGCGCTCTCCTCCTCACACCAGTCGTCAAATACATCTCTTTCCTCCACTCCTCTGTTCCTGAGCATCCGCATTGTGAAGCCAACCAATCATTGTACTCAAACTGTGAAACAACAACAACAAAAGACGTTAATTCGGTTCTGTTCAGTTTCGGTTTATGTTGCGGAATCATAAGTCAAAGAGATTCTTACTTGAGCATTCCCCATTTGATGAGTATATCGCTTTGGGATCCCTTGAGCTTCAAGTGTTGCGTAGAAAGATTTGATCTCTCCCATCATATCTTCCTTAGACGGAAGCATAATCCGACCGGACAAAACACCGGCGATCCACTTGCCTTGCAGCTCAAACAACGGAAACGGTACAACCTTCCACGGTATTCCCATGAAGGAGAGCCACGGCGCTAATGCCGGAGGGAAGACGTCTTTGTACAACGGTCCAACACGGTTATCATCAACGGTAACATTTCCATTTGTTTCAAGAAACGGGAAGTGGTACTTGTAACCAGTGCAATGCATGATAACATCAACAAGAATCGTTTCCCCGTTCTGAAAAACCACAGAACCATCTTCATGGACACGCTCTATCTGTGCATGAGATTCAAGAAACCATCGACTGTTATTCTGATCAACAACTAATGATGGTAAAGTACTTAAGCGCTAAACTAACCATTGAATGCATCCACAGGTTACTGTAACCGGGCTGTTTGATAAACGTATCAGCTGGATTTGACCGATAAGCCACATGAACCTCTTTGGCGAATCCAGCAATGTCTCTGCTTATATCAACAGCACTTGCAGAGTTCCCAATCAGCACAACAACCTAATCAAAAGGTATCATCAATCTTCACATTATCTTCTACCATAACATTTCTGAAGAATCTGACACTATGATTCTCTGAAGTGAGTACCTGATCTTTGAAAGGTTCTGGAAGACGATAGTTATGGCTATGCATCTCCTTCCCTGGCCAAGAACTTATCCCTAAATCATCACAATCAAAGCTTTAGATTCAATGGTTCTCTATAAAGCTCTGTTTCAACATTCGATCTAACATTTCTGAGATCAAACAAAGATTCTAGGACTAAAGAAACACCTAACAAGCCAAGCTATTCAAAGATCAAGATCTTGAATTCACAAATGATGATGAATCACAATCACACTTATCACTGAAGCTTATGCTTCACTGTTCCTGTGAAGTTCTATTTCCACAGTCAAGATGTTGAAATTCCAAGAGGAGAAATCAATTGAGATTACCAGGAATTTCAGCGAGACGAGGCTCAATGTAATGTCCATTACAAACAACAACAGCGTCGTAAATCTCATCGCGATGAGTTTTCTTCTCCTTCTCTGTAGATTCGATTCTCCATTTTCCGATTCCTTCATCGCCGTCGCTTTTCGCCGCCGGAGAAACACGCACAACCGCCGTCTCGAACCGAATCATCTCCTCGATCCCAAACTCCTTAGAGAAATCCTGCAGATACGCCAGAACTTCACCGTGGCTCGGGAACCTCCTCGGATCTCTGGATTCCGAGACGCCGGATCGGATCGCGAACGGGAAGTCTCTGTATCCCATACACTCTCGAGGGAGGTTCGTCCGGAGAGAGCCATAGACGCTCGAGTGAACGACGGGTCGGGTCGGGTCAACGCTTAACGGATCCGGCTCGACATGATCGGTGTAAATCCAGGTTCCTCCGACTTGTTTCTGCCTCTCGAAGACGACCACCGAGTGACCTTCCCGTCGAAGCTCTCTCGCCGCGACTAATCCGGCGGCTCCAGCTCCGATTACTGCCACGTGGTGCGATCTAATTGGTGATAACGAAGGTGCCATCGTGTTTACGAGATTCCTATAGAGACGGAGAATATTTTTAGGCCCTGTGATAAAATATCTGGCCCACATAGCCATGAACCACAATTGTTATTTTCATTAGATAATCCTCAGTAATGATTTTAAACGCAGCGTTTTTATGAAAGATTGCTTCGTACAATGGTACTTGTAACTTCACATATTTTCAAAACAACCCCATTATTGTTTATAGTATACACAATGGTCCTCATGCAATCACATAATTATGTAAGAAAACGGATCTAAAACCTAAAGTTTTAATTGTTTTCTAAGAAAAAGAAAGTATTTGACAAAAAAAAAAGGAAGTGGACATAAATAACAGAAATATTATTGCTAATCCATAACCGGCAGGCACTAATCCTCTTTTTCTCTCTCTGAGAAAAGGAAGAGAGAGACTCTTCTTTCTCGCTCCTCATGGTAAGATTTCTTCTACGATAAAACCTATAAATATACAGAAGAGCTTACACATGAATCTCTGACCATGAAAGTCTTGTTGTCTTATTGAGAATTGCTTCTTTATTTGGAATGTCTCATATATAGATCTGTTGGTCAATCTAATAATCATTGAAAGTTTCAAGCTTCTTCTCTGGGTAATAATTCCTCTCTTTCTTCTATTAAAAAGTATCTCTTTGTAGTTTGTATACTTTATTAGATTATACTGTTCATATATATTATCCAAAATTTTATACAATGAAGATACTGCTTTAGCTCATTGTATTGCTCTTTTGTTGGAAATTGGGGTAAATCATCAATGAAATCTCTGGTAAAATTAATACCTATAATTGAGATTCAATACCATTTTTTATTTGTTTTATTCTCAGTGTCACAAAATTTTGAATGTATAACTAACAGCATAAATCTCTCTATATATACGAATGATCAGTATGAGTTTTGTTATTTTTTGCTTCATAAAATTGAAGATTTAGCAAATCAGGTTTTTCAAAAACCTTTAAGAGTCTTGTTTTATTGAGTTTTCAGACATGGATATTGATGGTTTTGATTCCTTTTAAGATCACCAGGACAAAAGAATGTCTTCTTAAATTTGGTACATGATTTGAATTCTGGACATTGGCTCTGTTCAACAACATTATGTCATATTAGTATCTCAAGTTATACATAGACATATTGACATGCATTATGAATTTTAGTATAATCTTTTTTTTGTTCATGCATTAGCTCATTTTCTGCTGTTCGATAAAGTAGAAAGGCAAGAATAAAAAAGTGTTAGCTTTGTTTAGGATGTCACAATTCTTAACTATCGTTATGATTTAACTCCATGTATGTTTTCTTTATGGACCATCTCATTTTTAACTGTTGATTGCATTTGATAGGACAAGAAGTGTCGTGATGTATCTCCATAATTTCTTTACTGATGAAACAATATTCAAGAAACGTTCTGAATCGTATGAAGAAAGTTCTAAGCAGAATCAAATCAAAATGGTCACTCTCTTCGGGCAGAAGGTATAGACTCAACTCAAGAATCTTATCATTTTCTTTAATATTAAAAAATGTTACTATTCCAAGTTTTAATTTGTTGCTTTTCTTGTTAACAAAACTAACAATATGCAAGTTCATCAAATTTCATTTTCAGGTATATTCCGAAATAAAAGACTCTCAAGATACAAATTGGTTTGGCAAGAGAAGTGAGGAAGTGAATATCTCAAGTGAATCAGGTTTGCTGGATCTTAACCAAACCCCGGTTAATGAGCCAGTTCCCAATCATCATCAATGCTTCTTCCAAGATTTGAACTTTCCTTCCACTCAGGAGAAGGAAATGAGCAGCGAGAAGAAAGGTTTAGATGAGATACATAGAAAAGACAGTAGTACAGCATCTCCAGCTTCATGCTGCACCGCGGAACGAGAAGATCCGTCTGAAGTAATGGAAATGGCAGCTGAATGTTTACTCCAAATCTCAGCGGTTTCACTCGATCAAAGTCAGGATAACGTGTCACTCAAGCCTAGATCAAGACCTAACAGCTCATCTCAAGATCAAGAACCGAGTTGTTCTTACGATTCATTTGAGCTTCACACTTTAGGAATCACCGAAACCATCCCTGAAGATATCTGTAGTGTGCCATTATCAAAGGGCAAAGATGATGAATATAATAACAAGAAAGAAGTTGGAGTAGTCAAGGTGAGAAGAGGAAGGAGGATGAAGAATTTCCAAAAGGAGATACTCCCGGAACTTTTATCGCTTTCTAGACACGAGATCCGTGAAGATATGAACATATTGGAGACTGTTTTGAGGTCTAGAGAATATAAGAAGATGGATCATGGGAAGAGTAAAGATGGAAAATGCAAACCAAGCCAGAGAAACAACAAAGATTCGACTAAGAGGTATATAGGTAGAAGAAGGAGAGGAACAAAATGATGAAATTTCCTTTATATTATATACATTGATTTAGCTTTTAACACTTGGCGGTTTCGGTTCATATTGTGATCATTGATTCAAGTTGGAGGAGAAAGATATTCAAATTTTTATTGAACTTGTGAAATAGTGAATACTTGCCAACGATTATTTGATTAGTTTGTCCAAAAAAAGACTCGTTAGGGTATGATTCCGCAAGATATTTGCTGACCTAATGGGCCTCTAGTGGGCCTCACATTTGCATTTGGCGTTTCATCAATTTCTAATTTCTCCAATATGTATACTTTCATGATTTCATTTTCAATTTTTACTCTCTTTTTTTTTTCACTTTATATCTTTTACAAATCCTCTTTATAGGGAATCACTTTAGGCTGGTTATTCTTTCCTTAAGGAAGTGTGCTCGCAGTGAAAATTTGAAAAACAGTATTGGTTTTATATTAACAAGAAAAAATTTACAAAATTTGAAATTTTCCAATGATGGTTTTCACTTTAAGAAAAGTAAGCTTTAATAGTAACGTATAGAGATTTAGTGAATGAAAATATCTAACTATACTTGTAAAGAATTGAATGTCAAGTCTCAAGAATCAAAATCCAACTGCACAAAAATATGTAAACAATTGACTGAGTAATAAAATCTCTATTTATGACATTGTAAAAGCCAACGCACCCAAATATTCAGTATTTACTCCAGCATTAATTAAGAAATCGATTACCCGTGGGAAAGAAACAGATCTAGTTACCATTTTTGTTTCTGGTCAACAAAATTAATTACCATTTATCAACACAATTTTCTACCAATTTATACATCAGGAAAATAAAACATTAGCGGAAAATTGCGTTGATAAATGAAATTACATTGTCAAAAAAAAAGTTAGAAAAATAAAAATAAAACCATTTTTCCAATTTATTTTTACAGCCGGTAGATTATGAGAAAACAAGGCAATACTGCACGTGTATCGAACACGAGCAACTCACCGTCGTCACCACTCACTGAGTCAAACCGTGATCGTACCTCCGAGTCAACCGAATCGTACCTTAACTCGCTCTGCTTCGAGACCCGACCAGCTATGACCCGGCAAACCAGCATTGCCTTCCTCCCTTTACCTCCGCCGGCTTTATCATGCGCCGTGCAACTCCCGGCGAACGTATAGATCGACGCGCCGCCACCTTTTCCTCCTAGAACACCCCACGCGCCGCCTCCGTAACTCGGACCCAAACAATAAAACCGCATCGTCTCGTTCCCGTCGGCGACCGAACGCGCGTTCTCTTCACGCGATTTCACCACGCTCCTCGTCTTCACGGCTTCGCGGTACTCCTCGAACCGGGTCAAAGTCTTCGACCCGTTTTGCACCTTGAAAATCATTTCGATCCGACCCGAAAACGGTTTCGGGCCCCAGCTCGTCTGGAAGATAATCTCCACCACGTTACGCGACGGATGCCCTTCCTCAAGTTCCGTCAATGTCGGCAACAACGGGTCGCGAACTCGGGTCGCTGAATCAACGGACGATCGAATCCGGGTCGAAGGAGCTAAAACCGGGTCGGGTTCTCTTTTATCGGGTTTTGGATTCGGTTTCTTCGGTTTCGGTTTGGGTTTTTTAGCGTCGATCACGTCTTTTAGACTCTGAGTGCTTCTCCTGCAGCTGTAACTTGATATCAGATGTTTCGGACTCGGATTCGAATTCGGGTTTGGGTTTTTTATTGGTTTGTAAACATCATCGAAAGCTTTCGACTTGCACTGTAACGATTTGACCCACCCGCTCGCCATAACCAGGATCCGAGAGGCGAGACCAAAGCTCTCTGTTTTTTTTTCTCTCTCTCTCTTAAAAAAACTTTGAAGCAGAAACAGAAGCAGAAGAAAGCAACATGGCGCGATAATGATGATGATGAATATTAAAAGTAGACGTCGGAACTTGGGAGTGTAACTACGATAATACCCTTCGTTTTAAAAGGAAAGTCTCACGTATTCCGGTGGGCACTTTTGTCTTTTCAGTACTGCATTTTTTGGTCTACCTTGTTATATCAAAAATGGAAGGAAACAAAATTATTTTTATAGAAACAGAAGTTTGGTTTTTGATTTATGTACGATAATACTAAAAAAACAAAACCGTAACGAAAATTTGACTTCAGGATTTTCTTGTTTTTTTGTATTGGTACAGTCTTGTGATTATTTTGTTTCCTCTTGTGTTGTTAGTTTAGTTGTGTATCAAAATTGGAAGAAAGCAATTTCATTTTTATAAGAGCAGGAATTTTTGGTTTTGATTTTATGTAAGAAAACATACAAAGAACAAATACGGAAATTAAATGTAATGAAAATAATTGACAGTGGGGTTTAATTGTATTTTTATTTGAGGTACAGTCTTGTGATTGTTGTCCTTGTATCATAAATATGGATCGCAAAAGAACACAAATAACATTTTTTAAAATTACGTCAAATTTTGCAACTCTTTGTTTTTATCTCAACAATAGAGTTTCACATGTAAGGTCTAATCAAGTCAATTATGGTATCTGGATCTTCTAGTCGATGACAAGCATGTTTCGAAATCGATGTGGTTTTCAGCGCTATCATACAAAACATACTCAACCACTTCTGCTAGAGAGAAAGATACTTGGCAAAAAA